TTTCCTGACTCACACAGCTGCAGGGGCTGAGGAGCTCAAGGTTGGCAGGCAGTATACTGGCTGTTGGGAGCTCTGGTAGCATAGTACCTAAGGAATTTGACTGCTAACCACCAGCCACTTCTCAGAAGGAAGGTTGGGCAATGTACTTCCATAGTGAGACCACCTAAGAAACCCAAGGAGGGGTCGCTATGAGTCAGGTCCAACTCGACGGCACATAACAACAACAACATACTGGCTGTTGACTCCAACGAATGACAAATCCAAGATCTCTAGGCCAAATGGTGGATTTTTCACTCAGGGACAGTTGTGGACAGCACTACAGAAGCCCGATCCACAGAAGAGTGTCTCTTTTCCCAGAATGTCCATAAATATACTGGAAGCAAGCCACACCCCTATGTAAACTCCCTTTCAATGGATTGGCTGCTCAAAATATATACAGCTGATCCCATCATTGGAACAACCCACATCACAATTGCTTAAACCACCCAGAATTGTGGTCCAGCCAAGCTGACACACAGTTCCAACTATCACACCAGCCCTTAGGAGTGAGTTTTATCCCAGGCCCAAAGTGCATCCCAGGGCTATAATCTTGGGGGTCCCACCAGACTCCATCATTGGACCAGTAATTCTGGTCATTATTATTATTTTTTTTTTTATTCCACATTTTTCCTCCCACTCTGCCAGGTCCAGCAAAACTGCAGAGGTCATGAAACAAAGCGACATGAAAGGATTTAAAGTTTTTTCAAAGGAATGGGGACCAGGAAGATACCCTGCATATTCTTTGAGAGCGATGCCTGATGTATCCATCCTGCTTTATTTATACATAAGCATAAAATTACATCATTATTCTTTGTATTTCCTTAAAACAATCAAGTATTCAATCAAATATTCTTCTACAGAAAAATCGAATGTTTCCTTATGACAATCAATTATTATTTAAAAGTTAAAGTTTTACTCTTTCCCATACCAAAAGGCATTTCCCCATGCCCAAATGTATTGGATGATTAATTGGGTTAATATCTCTTACAGGAATAGCAAATAATCACAAAAATACATCATTCTAAAACATAGTATGATTGTTAAGGTACATGATTCTAAATAACAGTATACTATTCTTAGGGCAAAATATTATCCCAGGGAAACAGTTTAGTAAACACTTTGCTGGGACAATGATCCACCCCAGGAACACAAAGCTGGAGCCAAGCAAGCATTCTTAGCTGTTGTTAGAACATGTGCCTTGCAATCATGTTCTTTTGGTGGTCTTTTTTCTTGGTCTCTAACACCATTCTATCCAGGATCTCCATTTTTGATCCCTTCCTGTTTTTTTTTTTTAAATAGTAAAATCATCTTTACTCAAACTACAAAATAAAGTTAAGTGATAGCTTTGTGAGACAAAATATATTCTGATTTTATTTTTTCCAGAAATATTACATACATCTTCACTTATGGACATGGTTACGTCCAAAGAGCAGGTCATTATGTGAAAATTAGAATTCTGCGAAAATGGAAGAGGATTATATCATATCACAATACATAGTATGACAACATCATTAGATGATAACAGTCAAATTATATAATTACATTAATACCAAACCACTGATAAGCATGGTGAAGCCAAGTAAAAACATAAACATAATAATCAAATACAATGTTACTATCACCTCACAGCTCTGTGTTCATTACTGCCAAACAGATATACATCATTAATGCACAAAATAATCAAATAGTAGATTTTTTACTATGATCATAAAGGCAAAATATCAGATATTGAGACAGTTGGTAAATGAGGAGTATGTGAGTAAATGTATTTCATCTTCAGGATCTTTTAATATTCAAAATAGCTATTTGCTTATATATATATATTTAGGCTCTTCTAAAGACTAGAAGCTTAATTTCTGGATATCTGTAGTGTAGTGCTCTTCAAATATTTTTGTTTGCATTGTATCTAAAATAATTTTTAAAAACTATGTGCTCCTCTTAAATTTTTTTCCATTCACAAATAATTTTAAAATTTTGGTGTTAAATGCTTCTAAAGATATAATTTTCAGCATATTGTAAATAATTATATATTTTGAAATGCATTGTTGCATGCATTTCTATTTTAAATATATCCAGCAGAATACAAACTTTGTAACAATTTGATACTAGCCATCATCTATTTAAAACTATGCTGTGTTGGATTGGGTTCTCTAGAGAAACACAAAAACCAGCAAAGTGTATATATATATTTATAGAGAGAGTAAGAGAGAGAGAGAGAAATTTATCTTAGATAAATGGCTCACAAGCGTGTAGAAGCCGACGAGTTCAAGCTGAAAAGTTCATCTCTGGAGGGGGATGGGGCCCGGGGCTGTCTGGCTTTCGCACGCACAGCAGAGGAGTTCAAGTCACAAAGTTCATCTCTGAAGGGGGATGAGGCCCGGAGCTGCCTGGTTCCCGTAAGCACAACAGAGCCGAGAGAATCAAGCTGACACGCAGCGCGCTGGTCGCTGTTCCCAACAAAG